AAGTATAATTGAAGATGCTAACTATCAAACCATAAGCAGTGGTATTCCAACTCATCAGATTTGGTACCTCGATAATTGCAAGAACTTTGAGCCTCAAATTCTTGCAATAATCGAGGTACTGCATCCGCCCATTACTTCGATTTTATTTGGAAGTTCCTAATTAATTTTCTCCTGTAAATTGAAGTTCCCCAATATTCACTTTTCATTTTAGAATTTCTGCAACCTTTTATTCTTGATTATTTAGAATTACGATTTGCAAATTTCGAGGAGGCGTCGACTCCTGCAAAGTGTCTGACGTTGAGCGATAAATCCCCGACGAGGTTGTATTAGAAAAGAATAGAAGACCCTGGCACTGGTGTTACGCAACGAAGGTTCGCGTTCGTGTCGCAATCACGAAGATTTGCTCGCGGATCATGGATTCGCGTGGGTGGGAAACGCGCGTGCATTCGCGCGTGCATCGTGAACGCGCCTCGGACCAGCGTGTTGACAGGGAGCCTAACCGTACAGACCAGGATGGTTCTTCCGGTGAGGGCATGTCCGGTGCTTCAGACAATACTTCAGCGATGATCGCATCAGGAATGCTTTTCCAGCGACTCTCAACTTCTTCCATCACAATCCTCCACACGCTCTTCGTTCAACCCTCATTTATTTATTTATTTATTAAACAAGAGAAAATATTACGATACTTTTACGTGTATTCCAGTCAAGTTTAAACGTAGATTATCACCATTAATATTTACTTTTGCTATCACATATAGTATACTACATCGAATTTGAATAAATTTTGTCATAATCTTTAGAATACTAATGGGACATATGTATATGTTCCAGGCTGGAATTTTACACTGAATTAAAAAAGAATCAATTTCTAAAATTGTACTCAAAACGTATTTTATCACTTTTATTTTTCTTAAAAAAATCCTCGAATAATAAGAATTTAAAATGCTCATCAATGAATGAAATTACGAATAATATAAAATAAAAATATTCAGTATCAATCATAGTCTCTATATTTACTTTCAGTTAAAATTGTATACAATCAAAAGAGTTTGGTAAATAAAAATATAACTATTAATATTTATTTTTGCTATCACATATAGTACACTACATATGTATCGAATTTGAATAAATTTTGTCATAATCTTTAGAATACTAATGGCACATATATGTTCCAGGCTGGAATTTTAAACTGAATTAAAAACGAATCAATTTTTAAAATTGTATCCTATTAAAATGAATAATAGAAATACTCGAAACGTATTTTATCACTTTTATTTCCCTTAAAATAATCCTCGAATAATAAGAATTTAAAATGCTCATCAATGAATAAAATTTCAATTAAAATGAAATAAAAATAAAACGTAAATATTTGAACTCCAGAAAATATTGTCTTATTGTGTTCTATAAGAAACAAATTTTATTTCACTTGACTTGGCCCCCACAGAAAATATTATTACACATCGAATGGACCTCGGAAAATGTTATTTGACTTGAAAATTATATTTTATTATGACAGCGAAGAAAATTGTGCACCACTGCGTTAAACAGACAACCAGCAACAGAGTCTGGCACGCAACAAGACTTGGAGCAAGCTTTTTCTAAACTAAATGACTATCATCGACATTGTGTGCTCTACGGTCGATCACCAAAGGAGTACACGTACGGTCAGCTAGCGCGTTTATCCGTACCGCAATCTCGGCGTAGTATTACGTTTAAATTAATAATCCCCGTTGCGTCGCGTGATTGCCGTCACTCGAAAACACGTCCGTTACACGCGTGTTATTACGAGCCCGCTTGCAATTTCAATAATAATTATAATCACGCGCGGTTGCGCGGCCGGAGACGAAAAAACCGCCGCGACCAAGAAACTTTCCACCCTTATTGCCGTTTCGCCCCGTCTCGGGCGACTTCAATGCCTCATTCGACACGCGCGTTGAACCTCCGACTATTATCGACATTCGTATTTTATTGCTACGACGTATTGATGAATCATCTTTGCAAATTCCTTTGGCGATCTCCTATTCTCTGCTCCTATTTCTAGGAAACTTTCATTTTGTACTGTGGAAATGTATTGGAAATTATAAAATGTCAGAATTAAAAATGATTCAAATTTTTGTAGTTGCAATGGTGAGAATTCATTTCAAATTAAATATCGCCCATGGAAATGTTTAATTGTAATATTCTTATTATTAAATAACTTTTTTCTATACCATAAGACTATTTCATCAAGGATGTCATACATTAAGTATATTAAATATAATAAAATTTAATATAATTTTATTTATTATTTCAGAATTATTTTTTTTTATTTCATTATTTTAAACTTATTTTCATAGTTATTTGTCATCGTAACAATTCTAAAAATTATAAATATTTCATTCTAAAAAGATTCTTCACTCTTATTTTTGGCAAATTTTCACTTTGTACAGCGGAAATGTATTGCAAATTATAAATTGTCAAAATTAAAAATGACTCAACAAATTTGTAGTTGCAATGGTGAGAATTCATTTCAAATTAAATATTGACCATAGAAATATTTAATTCTAAAGAGATTCATTCAATTTTGAATATTATAAATTGTCCTTGGAAATATTTAATTTTCCCTTTGATAATTTGCTGGAGCTATAGTACGCGAAATAGAAACTGGTTCGTTGCAACGGAACGCCATTGCGTGTCACGCGACACGCTTTTGCATGGCGTGCAATAACGGTAGGCAGCGTCCACAAAGGGATTGGCGACAAAGGGAAGCGTCAGAAGACGAAAATGGGAAAGAAATCGGACGATATTACCACTCGAAAGTACGATCGCAGGGAATTCATCGCGACGATATCGTTTCCCGAGGCGACAAAGCGACCTTCGTGCCGTGGAAACCTCGACATCTCGCTTACGAGATCGTCGATTGAAACCTTCTTCGTTCGCACGAGCGAGTTCACGCGGAATTCGCTGGGCTCGCGAATCCATCCTGGGACCCCGGAATCCGTCATTCCGGAAGGTGAGAAACTTTCGCGGCAAAGGACAATTTAAATCGTCGAGAAAGGATTCTCAGCATAGTTCGTACGAAGGTCGATTGTCCTTCGTGCGAACTCGATCGATAGATAATCTTCAGATCCTCCATACGCGTGTAAAAGTCATTTAAAATCAAAACAGATAAAGTACGATACCGTTGGAGAATTTATAATCAACAATAGAGGCCATTATATAAAAAAATCGTACAACGGAGCATTAGTGCAGGACATTCTAAAGACAACCGTTGGCTCCGCCTATGGCATCTGCAATCGATGCAACTAACTACTATACCGGTTGTCGGTCCGGCAGATCCCTACTAAATGCACTTTCTGCGTCGATAATGCAGAAACTGCATAGGGTTTACCCACTGCTGGTGCACAGAGACAGAAAAAACATAGCTCTGATATAACAATATCTTCAAAAATTAAGAATTCTGTGTTTTCAAACTTGTATATGTATCAATATCTACACAAATCTAAACACAAAACATAAATTAACATTGTAAAAAAGCAATATTCCTTCGGTTACCACAAGAGCCGAACTTACCATCAGATGATAAATCCTATTTATCTATTTCCAGGAACCCCCCTCACGGAAATTGATTTCAAACCGGAATTACTCATCCCTGGACGACCGGAAACGCGTCGACAGTTCGCGAATCGGCAAAAATTGCCCGATGGGCGCGACGTTCAGCGCCAATTACCGCTTATTAAGAATTTAGCGCTAGGCGCGCGCGAATGGAAAGGTTTCTTTGTCGCGTGCTGTTGGCTCTCTTTAAACGAGGGACCCTGGCTCGCCCTCGGGGAATTGCACCTCTCAAACAATGTCTGCTCGTTACGAACATAGCCCGGCGGTATTTGTCAGCGGCAACGGCGGCTGTTTCAACGACAATTCAAACAAAGCGCAATTAATACCGGGTGGTCCCGATTCTACGGGCATTAGCCGCGAGATAAAGCAAGAGTACGAGGAGCCCCCGGAGCTCCGCGCGATTTGCGCCCAGACAAAACGGCCGCTTCCGTGTTCTCGTTATGCACCGCGGGACGCGAATATTTCTGCCCCGCGCGCGCGTTCATTACCCACGGAACCATTAAGCCACCGCGGATCTTGCTCGCGAGCCAACGAAAAATTTTTAGACCGTTCCTTTTAGGCGAACGTGTCCCAACATACGACACCTGCTTCGGAAAAATAGGGGAAAAAAATTTCTATCGACGTGTGCCCTGTTCGGGCTCCCATTTTTGTTATCGGGGGATTCTTAAACGTTGGCAGAAAAATTTCCTGATTCGAGTTCTCTCGATCTCTATTATTCATGCTGGTATATTTTTATCATTTTTACCAGCAGAGTGTGTAATTGTAAACAATAAAATTTGATTTCAAGTCGAGAGGATTAATTGGACCTTGAAGACTTGGATCTCTTTTTTTAACACCTTTATACGTGTCTATAATAATTTTCAATGCATTTGTATTTTATTCCAACCTTATCATTAATTTGTAACTTTTTATTTCTAAATAAACCTTACCAAATGGTTATACACTCTTTCTGTATTTTTATTTCCACACTATTACTATTACTCCTTGGTCTACTTAAATTTGTTAATTTTAATGTTTACGAGTTTTTGCTAATTTAATTTGCTAAAATGGGCTGAAATTTCACTCGACAAAAAACTTCATACACAAGATCTTTGGACCATTATTTCAATATAACAGATACGAAGTTATTATCTTATTAACTGTAAACATTGGTAATTCAATTTTTAACACATTGACTGCCATACGAATTTTTACTAAGCTAAAAAAATTAATTCTCGAGATTAGATTTTAAAGAAAATAAATCCTAGGGCTCTTGAATTTTAACTGTAAAAATAAATTCTGTGACAAATTGTGGCTAGTTTCCAACGGTCTACAACCACTGGTTTCGTTGTCGCGGGCTATTCGTGGGGTCTGGCAGTGAACGCGTTAAAGGAGATTACTGGTTCGTGTGTTGGTCAAAGACTCACCTATCGGAGACGCGGTGTTGGCTTCCCGAAGGCTGACCGTTTCCGGTTCGACTGCCGCCTCGTCTTCTTCGATCAATGGCGGCGGAGGTGCCAAAGGTCGCGACTCGTAGCCCCAATGTTGCCGGAAAGCACGTGCGCCGCCGTCCAATCGAACACGTGGCAGTTCGACGAACATTGCGTCCCCCAACTGTAACCAAAAATCCCGCTGATTAAATTCCTATAAATGCACACGCAATAAAAAGAGAATAATTACGGAAACCGTGAAACTTCAAACGTAAAAATTGAATTTAACTGCTGAATTGATCGATGCTTTTCACACAAAAAAAATTGTAAACACAGGTATTTGTAAAACATAAATGGTGGAAAAAAGTTCACTTAATATAATTAAGATCGTTGAAATTATTTACACTTATATAGGGAGGAATCGTACGAGTTGCAAGCACATACTTTGAGCAGATCTAATTTCAAACGTGTCCTTTTAATTGGAAGGTCTGTGATGCGTGAGAAGAAGAGGCTGCATAAGTATATTAAGAGACGTAATTTATCGTCGTGGTAATGAGAATGACACTCGAGGCTATTTTACTTGAGAATCGATCCGCTAATTATGCGTTTGAAGAAATTTATAAAAGTAAAAATAACTTGTATTAACGTTGGAGTTAATTTCGTAAAACCCTGAATCACTCCAAAAACGCGCAAAAATTTTTCAAAATTCACTACAGTCGGCAGAATATAAATTCACAAACAGAACAATAAACTCCATAAAAAAATTGCATCGATCAGCGTTCTGAACCACCTGCACGCGATAAAAATTTATGGACAAATAACAACGTCGGGAGGGGAAATATGCGCGGATCGTTGGGGACGCAATTTCTCGTGAAATGGCGAAAATCATAAAGCGAGCCTTTCGCCGCGACACTCACGTAACCCCGAATTACGTCCATTTCACCGTGGCAGGCTAACGAGACGACCGCGTCTAATTAATCGCGTCGGAATCATTCGATGCCATCGAATCGCGAGACCGGTTCTCCGGATCGACGCGATCCCAATCGAGAAACCGGGGATCGACGGGAAGAAAACGTGTGGCGCCGCACGGAACGGAGATTGGCGAAATTTCATTCGACAAACAACGGAACGGAACTAGTTTTAAATCGTACTGGATCGAACAAATTTTTGAGAAATATCCCCCTCCGCTCGACTGTACGAAATTACGATTAAATGCTTCCCACGGTGAAAAATTTTTATTTTCGTTCGAAGAGTAACGTTTTTGTTTTTGATCGTTCGAAATTTTTGTATGAATTTTCCCCGTCTCCGGCCACGAAGGAAGCTGGACGACGACTGGTGTCTCTGTTGGTTTATCTTAAAATACCGTAGATTGACCTGACGACACGCTGACGTCACTAATTAGAACTCGTTGAACGCGGTGTGCACCATCGCCACGGGGCCTCGTGAAATCCGAAGGAACGGAGACACTCGGATTTCATTCTCTCGTTTCTCCTTTCAACGCTTTTGAGAATTACGAGGGAACGCCGAACGCCACGGAGGGACTCGCGTGGACTCGTCTTGAGAAATTGCACGCCTCGATGCAACGGGGCATTTATCTGAAATTGATTTCACGACTTCTTACCGATTTCATACAACTGTTCTTTAAATTTCTTCGCCGTAAATGGGGTCTACGTTGACGTTCGATTTAGCACTTTCGTCTCCGTTATCGGTCTTTCGAACGACCGTGTTCTACAAACGCGACGATAACATTAATTTCGAGTCGAATAATATTCATAATTGTTCTTTGAAATGAGAAAAATATGATCGAGAAATCTCACAATTAGATTGTAATGTAAACTGATAAAATTTGAAAATTTATTTATGAATATTTCTAGCATAGAGTCCGTCATATGGTGTTCGTTAATATTTATAATAATATTCACAATTGTTCTTCAAAATGAGAAATAAAATTTCACAATTAGATTGTAAAATGACAAAATTTGAATATTTAGAGTCCGCCATATGGTGTTCGTTAACATTTATTGTTATTTAAAATAGAGTTGTATTTGTAATACTATTCAAGTGGTCTGCAAATAATATTTATAATTATTCTTCAAAGTAAAAGAATTATGAATGAGAAATCTTGACGTCAGATATTCTGAAATGAATACTAAAACTTTAGATGCGTGCAGTTCCGAAACTACTAGTGTTTTATCACAAACTAAACCATTATTAGAAGCGGGGAAGCTTCACCTTTGAAATGGTTTTTGGTTTTCGTCGATCCGACTTTCCGTTTTCGAGATATCGTAATTTATGTAAAAGGTAATTTTTTTAATTCGACTGCCTCACTGTCCGGCTCGCGTATAATATCCTATTAACTCGTATTAAAAATAGTAAAAGTTTAGATGCGTGTAGTTCCGAAACTACTAGTGTTTTATCCATTATTGTTTCATTGTTAGCGGCGGCAAACCTTCCTCTTTAAAATGGCTTTTGGTTTTTGTCGATCCGACTTTCCGTTTTCGAGATATCGCAATTTATGTAAAGGGGTAATTTTTTTAATTCGACTATCTCTGTCTTCGTCTGACACGTCGGACCTCTTTCTCTCTCGATGCACGTGACTCTTGGCCGAGTCACGTACTACGGTCACGTGAGGTGAATGACCTCGCGACGTAAACAAACGCTTCGAGCCCTTATATCTCCGAAACTAACCACCGCATCGACTTGAAACTAAAATCTTCATATCTCCGGAACTAATTACGCTATCGACTCGTACGAACGCTCGTTTTAAAGGGCATTTCATCCTCTATCCAATGACTATACCAACTACTATATTTTATGCTGTCTTCTATGTTTATTTTGAAATTTACTTTGACCCTATGCACCCAAAGAAGTTTCAAAAGATAAATAATTAAATAGTTATCGTAAATTCACTAGTTTCTATCATTGACAAAATTTGGAAGTCTAATTACGAGTATTTCTAGAGTATAGTCCCCCATATGGTGTTCGTTAATGTTGTTGTCCAAAGTCAATAGAAATAGAGTTGAATTTATAATAATATTCGTAGTGGTCTGCAGAGCGTCGAAAGAGAAAAGACGAACGGATTGTCGGAACGATGTGGGCAGAGGGGGAATTATTAATTTCGATTTGTTTCGCGCGCTCGACTGCCCGCATTGCTGGCCATTATTTGCCAATCATCGTCCCAAACGAATTTCTGCCCGCACAATCGACGAAACGGACACATTTTGCAACTGACCGAGCGAATTATTCGCGACAGTCTGCGGTGGCTGTTTGCCGCCATGATCGATGCCGGTGGACGAACGATTTCAGTAGTTTCGCAAACTTCAGTCGTAAATATATATACAATATTTTCCTTTCTATGTTTCACGTACATCTAATATAAATTTTCAAACGTCCAGAATCATTAAAAAATTGTGGGACTGAGAAATAGAGAGAACCAAAGTTTCACTTTTAATTTGAAATTTTAACAAGAGTTTCAATTCTTCACTGTTTCGTTTTTATAAATAAATAAATAGGGATCAAAGATATTTTAAGTAATAAAAATATAACGTTGCTCGTAAGATTGCTTCCAAATTAAACTTCTGAAGAGGACCCACATTGAGGGTCGAAACGTATCGAAATAGTTTTTTTCCTTTCCTCGCGATGATCTACGGTCTTCTGTCATCGTTCTGAAAGCAATTGTATCCCTCAGCGATACCATGCTGGTTCTTTAAGTGCAAAAAACATCGTTCAGTATGACGTCGTCATCGTTGTCGAATCATCTCCTGCTTAAAAAGTGCACCATTTCTCGAAAGAGGTCTTACTTGGATGGAACGAGGTCTGATTGGAACGATAATGCACTCGAGCACATTCAACAAAAATTATTAACGGTGCTACGAGACAAGAAGACTCTTAAAATTTCGACATTACTGTTAAATCGGAAAAAATATTACAACTTTTACATTTATAGAAATTTTAGATTTTTCTGTCTTTCTACCAATCTTCTGACGATTGTCTGTCACATTACAATTTTAATTAACCTATTATTATATAATAGATTCTTCGAAGCACCATTAAGTCTTCATATGATACATAAATATTTAAATAAGAAGAAACTAATTTCAATTTCGCGTTCAATTCAACGAACACGATATTCTTGACGAATTGCAGTACAACTGAAAAAGTTCCGTAAGGGTGTCTCTCGTTTCTTTGTAATTCCGACTACATTTTCAAAGGATAATTCGTTTCACAGTTACGATTCCAATTCCCCCGAAAAAAAAAAAATGCTGAAACGCGAACGACGAACAATTTCATTGCCTCTAAATTCCGACGGTACCATTCAATCGTCAAATTATTCAAATCCAATTATCGTCGAGTCGGAATATAAATGAAAAATCTATGAACGCGAGGTTGTATTCCCGTTTTTCCTGTCCATCTGTTGCACTTTGCGAACGGCGATCCTGAAAATGGCGAATTTCGCAGGAACAAATGACGCCCGTAATTAGCGATGGAAACGATATCGAATCGATACTATCGATGACCATCCCGCGAATCGCAATCTGGTATCGAGTACGTGGCGCCAGCGGAATCGATACACATTTCATATTTCAACGAAAACATTTATACTCCGTTCTATTCGGAAAAAATTATCGAGTTTCCGTGCCCACGAAAATGCGACAATATTACTATTTTTTTGCCAAATAATTCGTGAATATTATTCGACTATTTCCACGAAGAACTATTGATTCATGATACAGTTACTCGTATTCGTAGACTATAATAGTGACTTGCTATAAATAACAAAAAGATTGCTTTCTATTTTCGAAATTGATATAAATCTAATTTTGCATATATTGAGATATTTAAGGGTTTAAATTAAAAATCTAATTTGTCGATGGTTGTGGTATGTTGGAAACGTTGGTTCTCGTGTGATCAAAAAAGTGCAGCTGCATTGGGCGCGGTCCATTCATTACTAGGATGGGTGACCGCTTGAGAAAAAAAACACACACATATTATATTGATTTGTATATTATTATCGGTTTAGTAATTGGGCATTAAATGCACACGTTAATATTAAATAAAATAATAAGAAAAAAATACTTTGTTAATACAAGTAACTCAAGTTGTGTAATAAACATTTGGTAAAAATAAATATGGAAAGAATTCATAAGAAAAAACAAAGTTTATTTACATCTATAGTGAATCACTAATATACTGGACGAATATACGAGTAAATGTGTACAATATTAATATTAGCGATATTTTCCAGTAGAGTTGGGACAAGTTGAATAAAAATTTAAATTCGCTCGTTTACCAGCCTCCGTTCTCGCCTGGAATATTCGATCTAAAACACCCGTGTTAATGGATTCTAATTGACTAATGAAACGCAAACCGGAAGTTCATGAATAAATATAAAATTTGTATTCGTTAGTTGGAAATAAAATTTGCTCAGACACGTCGGAGTCGCTGATTGGGGTAAAAAGGTAGTAGACAATTTAACAATGGGTCGTTAACGGTGGTTAAACGAACGAGGAACACGGAGATGAGAAAAATGTCCTATTGTAAAGATTGCAAACTTTATAAATAGAAGCTATAAAATAAAATTACCGAACAATCTCCATATCTAACTACCATCCTTCTACTTTGACATCAATATATGAGATTGAAATATATTTCACCAATTTTGTAACTACACAATTATCTCTGGACTCTGGTCGTTCAAAAAATTGCAATGAAAAATATTGTATAATATTGGAAACATCGTTCAATTTTAAAGTTTTCAATAAAATTCTTTATCAAAAATTCGAGGAACGAAAAGAATTGTCAGTTTGAAATTAATTTATATACTACTGATTAAGCTACAAAAATAAATGATTTTATCAATTTTATAATTACACAATTATATACTCTGGCCGTTCAAAAAATTGCATAGTATAGGAAACATCGTACAATTTTAAAGTTTTAAATAAAATTCTTTATTAAAAAGTCGAAGAACGAAAAGAATTGTCACTTTAAAATTAATTTATATATAATTGGTTAAGCTACAAAATAAATGATTTCACCAATTTTAAAACAATACGATTATATACTTTGGTTGTTCAAAAAGTTACAACGAAAAATATTGGATATATTATTGGTATTATACAGGAAACATCGTACAATTTTATATTGCATACTTTCCAATAAAATTCTTTATTAAAAATTCGAAGAACGAAAACAGTTGTTACTTCGAAATTAATTTATATCGGTTAAGCTACAAAAATAAATGATTACAAGCATGCTAGAATTTCGTCCAGCGAGTGTAAGTGTACGTAACGGGTTGAGAAAAAAAAAACAAGTATGATCTTTGCAAACTCGATTTTCGCCATGACCGATTAAAGAAGTCAGCGTTGTCGATCGATCGCGGTTGAACGAGTCGCGACTGCAGTTGCAGTTACCGCGTTAACTGCAATTACCAGACTGCCGCGAACGAACGCGTCCAATTACATGATCCCGTATTGGCCGCGAACATCGCCGTGCAACAATCTATGGCCCCCGCCAATTAGTATTTGCATTCTTTTCGTACGATACCCGCCGAGAATACGTGACCCCGTTTGCCATCGGGGTGTTCCATTAACGCAATTACGCCTCGACAGTAATTCCCGCTTTGCCCGCGTACCGCCTTTTCCCGCTTCTCGTCGTTCCGCGTCTCGCAGTTCCGTCCGATTCGACGAAAATCTCCAACGCGAAATCGTCCCCATTGTCGACGAAACCGTGGCCGTAATTACTGCACGGTGATCAACCGTGAGAGGCCACCGTGCACGTTCAGATATTTCATTCGAATTCGACGATCAACGTTTTCGTCTAATCACATCGTCGTTGATTAGTCTTGTTATTTTGTTAAATACCCAACACGTCCACTCACAATGGTTGCTTTTGGAAATTAGTTTCTCTGAAGACCACTTGATATTTAGTTTAATACTTTTTTTTAATTCTATGGTAATTATTTTTTTCAATAAATTTTAATGCAAATGCACCACAAATAATTCTACATGCACCAGTGCAATTTTTATATTTATTCTTGGAGTGAAAATAATTGTTAAATTCCAAATATCAAAATAGACCAATTTTTCCCCAAATTAGAAATAAATCTTTAATATAATAAAATAATATTCCAAGTAACACGTTACTTAATATAAAAAGAATTTTAAGATATTTAGTCATTTCAATACTATTCTTTTTTTTAATTCAATGGTGATTATTCTTTTAATAAATTTTAATTCTACATGTATCAGTGCAATTTTTATATTTATTCCTGGAGTGCAAATAATTGTTAAAATAATTCCGAATATCGAAATAGAATTTTTCCCAAATTAAAAATAAATCTTTAATACAAAATAATATTCCAAATAACACGATACTTTGTATCAAAAGAATTTTATTTATAAAATGCAGTTACGTTGCTTTAGTGAAAGATCATTTAAAACGAAAAATTGATGTAAATCGCAGGAGCAACAGTAGAATATTTATCGCCACGAAACTGACATAATTTCTCTGAAAATTTGATGCTTTCTTATTCCCCAGACCGAGCCACGAGCGGCGTTGTACGAAAGGGTTTAAGAACCGCGGTGTGGTTTGGACAATAAAATTCTAGAGAACACTATCGAAACAGGAGAAACAGAAGCAAGTTTTCCAAACAAAACAGTCCGCAAACACTGTGAAATACCGGGTGCACGGGCAGACACAAAGCATCATGGACAGCTGAACGACCGAACAAACTACGTGCGTGGAAACCAAACAATACGGCAAACGAACGGTGCAGGGTTCGCGCGAGAGAGAAACGCGAGGGCGAAGAACAGCAAAGACTCGTCGCGAATGAAATTGCATTACGCGGAAACGCGGAATCGTGGTGGGGGTAGAGCGTTGTCTAACCGTCTGGGCGAATTCGGGGAAGCAACATCATCCCGGAAGCCAGCCGAGGAAACGACCAGGTCAGACGCAGATGCCGTCTCCTGAGTAATTCAATCCTTTCGATTTCGTCGAGTCTCTGTCGTTTCGCGACTCGACGGCCCGTGGAAACAATTAGTCACGACCCTCTGAACCGTAAATTTGCTGATATCAAAGCAAAGACTGGACGAACTTACCGCCTCAGCCAAGAAGAATTGTCCATGTCGCGAACCAATGCGTTCCAATTACTTTGTTCGACTCGTTTTGCTAAAACAACGTTTCACGTTTCGATATACGAAAGTCGTACAATAAATTAGGAAAAATCTTGAATAGAACACCGTGTGATTATTATTTGTTTTCAAATGTGAAGAAAGTAGGCGAAGTCTTTAAAATTCTTACGAGAAACTTGCTACGATGCACTTTTTTTTTGGTTAACACGATACACAAAATAAATAACACTGAAATTACAATACTGCGAATTGTGTAAGTGTTGATGAGGTACGTGGAGTTGAACAGGTTAAGAAGAAATAGTTTACCCGAGATAACCTTTTATAAGAAAAACGTATTTCGATACATCCCTCGCACATGTCACAAGACGTACTACTAAATCAAGATGGCGCATCCGCTTGTGTTATGGTGGCGCCCTCACCGATCGGCTACGTGACGCTCTCGATCTACAATCGACTTCGATAATAAATATTTGCAATTCTCCAACACTACAGGCAAACATATACAAGCCCTGGCGAAATAAAAATTAATGGAAGTAAAATTAGAGAATTATTTATAACGCTACTAAAAACAGTAGAATTGTATAGTAATTTTAATTTATAGATTTGGAAATCTCTTCGACAATTTTCTTAGCCGACAAGCAACGCGTAAATAGCAGACGATTTGCGTTATACAAATTATTTTTTTAAATTATTCTGAAACTCTTTAAAATTATTTTTTTTGCGTAAGCATCGGTGCGACAATCATCACAGAAAATATGTGCATTACACGTATACAAATACATGGCCAAAATGAAGGAACAAAATGCGAAGACGACAGCGTATTAGAAATACATAGACAACACTTGAAGACAGAAAGAGAACAAACCTTGTTGTGAGACTTGAACATACAGGCGGTCCCGGCGAACAGCTGCGTCCAAGGAAAGATACAAATTTATTACTAATCGTATTCTTTTATCTCTTGGAGTGTTCCAAAATGATCTAAAGATCCTTTTGGATTCGATGGTATTTAATTAATACATCCGTGAATCGTGCATGGTTTGACTGCTTCAAAGTTTAATAAAATATCGAAACAAATACTCCACAGTAATATTTGAAAACTACATTTAAAAACACTTTTAAATTATATTTTTCTATTAAATGTGTTCCTGGTATATCAAAAAGCAAAATTGTTTTTTTATGCAGAACAAAAAGGTTAAAATTCCCCGATAGTAATTTTATAGTTTAAATAATTATTTATGTAGACAAACCATGCAATTTAAAAAGCACAGTGTATGAAATCGATATTTTTAAATGAAACAACTTTTAGGTTACGCAGGTCTCATATAATATTCGATATTATAAAACTATTCATACAAGTACGTTTTCGATCATTTACCGTAAAAGGCACGAGGATAATGGTGTACACGGAATATTATTATTTAAACTCGAACGAATAAAATATTTGATACGTTTATAGCCCTTTGAAGAGAGTGTTCCGACTTATCGTCGACATAGCAATCAGCCTCTTACAGGAGTCAAAAGCCACACTGATATTGATGTCCGTCGTGTGGTTAGAATCTATTTAAGGTGCCTGTTATGAATCACTGGTTACCAATCACCGAGCTCATATCATGGGTCACCGATCGCTAATCAGAGTCGTATTAATTGTACAGCTGAACAATTAAAAAACCATAACGATCCCGCGCTGAGTCTTCCGGAAGACAGATCCACGCGATAGTATAACCTAACCTCTTGTTGTCAGAAATTAATTATCAAACAGTGCAATGGCAAACAACGGAGATTGGTTCAGGTTCGGAACAAATCTTTCACGATGAAATTAAACATAAGAAGAAATTGAAGCAAAGACATAACCTTTCGCTGTAAGAAGCTTCTTCCGCAGCTTGTACACTCGATGAATATTCCATAATGCTTGCAAAACCATAGGAAACAGAAACTTCATGTTTTAAACACAAACTAAATCTATTTATTAAACTTAAAGGCACAATAAAATATACGTGTAACTGCACAAACGTGCAACAATTATATTTCGCTTACTGACCCCACTTTAATTTCGACGCACATTCAGCGCCATCTCTCGCGGCCCAAAGTATAGAAACAAGATGGCGGCTGATTTGAAAGTTGAGAATCGCGATTACGGTTCTAACATTTATTTTGTTGGAAATATTTAATTAGTTTTTAAAATTGAAGTTTTAATGTTTCTTTGGAATACGTTAAATTGCATTTGGAGAGAAATTAATTAACATACACCGCTGTTGATATTGATATCGGTAGAAAATTAAGCTTCTGTATGAAAATTTCTTTGACGTCCGGCTAATTGATGCTAAAACCACAATTTTCCTGCGCCACGTCCACGGCAGATGAGAGTTTTCCTATGAAACGAGCGTGACTGGTAACAAACGCTCCGCTGCTCGTTACCGCACGCACGTACACGCGGTTTGCGGGGGAGAGACCAAGCATAATTAATCGGCCGTTGACGAGGATAATTAATGTCCCGAGTCCACGGTTAAATTAATCGAGTGGTCCTCGAAGAGCGCGCGATATTACGATCATCGTTATTGCCACTACGGTCCCTGGGTGTCGTAATTTAAACGATTTCGATGCGTTACGCGGTTCTTCGTCGTAATTAATAAATCGAACAGCTTCACACGGAAGCTTGAGCTTACGAAGATTAAAACATTCGTTGGAAAATTCGCGTAGATTTCTGAGAATCCTTCAAACCTTCTAACATTATTTTATTCTGGTTCTTCGCTATTTCGGGAATTTAAGAAAATAAAAAGCCAAGGAAGTAGTTTCGATCGTCGAGCAGAGGAAATAAATATTTATGAAGCAGATAAAATAACTTTGAATTCAGCAATGTGGAGAAAAACAGTTTTTTGTTTGTTGTTCAGGTTGAGATAGAAGATTGCCAAAAACAGGTATGTCGTGTAGTAAATTTGGGGATTTATCTCGAAAAATTCTTAATATATTTTTTCTGTTACTGTGTATATTTGAAATACTGCAATTCTTATGTAGATTAAATAATTGATAAAAGGACTTTAAAGAAATATATTTAATTTAAAATACGTATCAACTTTCTGAGGTTTAAGGAGCTAACCTAATCTCAGAGTCGAAGCACGAGAGCATTTCTAGGTTATTTTCGGTTTCGTCGTTTTCTTTATTCTTTCGAAGGTTACGATCTATTTCTTTTGATAGTCCATGGTTTTTCTCTAAACTCTTTCACTTTTATAGGACACTCTGGTCTCGGTTTATTGCCCCGACAGCTATAAGGTTTGCTCGCCGTTCGAGTTTCGATCTTTCGATTTGGCTCGACCTTTGTGAACGTGTCTTTGCGACCAGCGCTACCTAATTCGATCCACACGATCGACTCGCTCCGATTCGATCCGACCGATCCGATTACATCCGTAAGCTGCGCACGTACGATCTTCCGACGATAATCGATCTGTCGGTGACGCTAGAATCGATTCGCGTCCCGGAAGTCTACCGACGATAATGGAGCACGTAAACGTTCCCCTTTGCCCCGCGATACTCTTCCCCGTGTTCCACAACGCTCGAGAAATAATATCGTACGAATTTGATCCAGTTTTCTCTTGCCAAGTACGGCCCCCATTAAACGAAACATAGTTATTTGTTTAAACGCCTCGATCCTCGAGATCTATCGACGAGGGATCATTTTAAAATAAAATTAAAAAATCCATACAAATGTACAAAAATAAATTTTATCTATCGATGAGGGATCATTTTAAAATAAAATAAAAATCTATGTATAAATGGCTAAGTAATATAGTCACTAAAAATAAATTTTATCTATCGATGAGGGGTCATTTTAAAATAAAATAAAAATCTATATAAGTAATATAGTCACTAAAAATAAATTTTAATCAAGACTACTCTGTGATCAATTTTATTCGAATCTGAAACTTCGAAACATTTTCCGAATAATTTATTTCGAGATTCTAAACCCTGAATTGACGTATTAAAAATAATAATCTAAGTTTGCTTTCCTTCGATTTTTCTTTTCATGGAAAAACTCGTGCAGATCAGTTTGATTTTAATTAACTTCTGTAACGAATGTACTGTAAAAGAAGAATCATTTCCGACAGGAAGTGCTGATGGTACTAGGTCAGACGTTTTAGTCAGCCTTCGAAAACCCCACGATTAATCTTCGCCCACTGTTCAGCAAGAATTACTCGACTGTCCACGTTCCCCTTACTGATGGTACCGCATCATTCTTAGTCCGAGTCTGATCTTTCTTTATCCCAACAGTACATACTACTTGTACTATTCGCGCAAAAGGATTCGTAACATAAATTCTCCCCTTTCTCAAAGAATGCAAATTAAAAATTTTAAAACTTCGTAAAGTACATAAATCTAAAATAGAAAGAAAAAAAAATTCTAAGGCACAGGAAAATAAATTTGCAAACTGTGATTAATTTATACCTTCCTGAAATTGTTACATTTTACAGAGGAAACGATAATTTTTTTTAGTGAAATGAACGTCATAAGAAATGCGTTATTTATTGCATACTGAATTTTTCTTTTCCCCGTCTGCAACACAGTGTTAAATAAATATATTTTTATCGAATCAAATTTTTAATTCGAAATTTAATGGAAATTTTAACTGTAAGCTATTTAAGAAAATTGGAAATTATCAATACAATTAGTTGAAGTTTATCGCAATATAAGACGGTTCTCAAAATGGAGGAGGAACGATGCACGATAATTGCCAAGTATATAAAACAGAATTTACGGTTCAGGAAACCGTCGAACATAAAACACTATGTTCGGTTCTGTCGTAGCTTCGAGCAACGCGTGCTCCACATTATATTTCCTCGTAACACTTTGCAATAGTAAGTAGCGTACATACTTAACGACGTCTCGTGCAATCTCGTCGTTCAGTTTTGACGCGACACTTTATACGGAAATCAGTAATATCCTCGCGCGGTATCAAAGCAAACACCGACTCGCTACGATCCACAGAACGTCGCTTTTATCACAAAGCGTCAAAGAATCCTCGATCAAATTGCACAATGCGCGGATACGCTTCGAATCGATACGCGTAATCGCGAACAAAGTCTGCTTGCGTCCCGTGGACACACAGGAAACCCTAGGAAACCCCGCGTTTCCGGTACACATTTATCCAGTAAAAATCTGTTTTCTCGGTATGAATCAAAACTTTCAAATATAATAAATTTTATATTTTATTTATTTACGCTCATTCTATTCTCATATTATTCTAAATCTTGATAGCTAAACTACAAAAATTAATTTTTAAAGATCACTCTGATGTCTTTTCAGGCACATATAAATAATATAAATGCACATAAATTGAATAAACAATAAGAAAGAGAATAGTAATACTACTTTGTATCGAACTGGAAATTAAAAATGAACAATATGTAAATTTCTATAATAATAAAAATTAATGTACTGTTGCTTATGAGATTATTTTACAAAATAAAGTTTTCAAAATTGGGTCCGTGAGAGAATTCCGCGTGAATTAAAATGATCCTAAAATTGAACGTGTACGGCGCGAAGAACGTCAGGACACCGGTACTCCTCCAAATAGCATAATAAAAAGTTTCACGGAACAAACAGACAATATGCATCTAGTATGCTAAATTGAATCTATGTAACAGCTGCTCAGACTGTTACGAGATTATACTTGCAACGACTTCTCGAGAGTAAACGAAAACAAAGGCAACGATCGTTGCTCTAAGAGTTACAACCGCTGAGAAGATTGAAAAATACATTATGCATCTCGCACGCGTTCCAAATACAAAACCAAGTTTGTACCATTTCCGTGTTACGTTAATAATTCGCGCGATGCTTAATATTCATCTACTGGACCTAATGGCGATGAAATATTACGTGTCACGGCCTGTTGTTCTCGTTCGTGGAACGTTACGT